GGCTCTCACAGCCTGCTCACACTAGGAAAGCGCTCGTCAGTGGGACGGGTACTAGCCTGGCCCCTGCGGGAAGCCCAGGGCCCCCGGAACGGGTTCTGGAAACGGGCAGCATGGTGCAGTCCCTGTTCCCAGCCGGCACCACGGGGCTGGCGAGCTGTGCCCTGCCAGGAACCACAGGCACAAGGGCCATTGCCCAGGGGGGTAGCAGAGAGCAAGGCCTCTTCCCTTCAGCGGGGCCCTGACCCCGTTTATATCCCATGCGCCCTGCCAGCCGCGCTGCTCGGTGCCAGTCCGCGGCCACGTGGCACAGACACCCCCTCACAGCGCGCTCCCAAGCCGGCCTGGCCCAGGGGGTCCAGCTGAAACCACTGCTGCGGTCTGCAGTGACATGGACCTGACCCCTTGGGAACACTCGCCGCACCCCCAGCAAAGCCACTTCTTGGCCGCACGCCGCTCGCCTCGTTTGATCTCAAGAGCCGTCTTGCTTTCCCTCTATCCTTCACGCTGCGTCCCAGGACAGGGCCTGGAACCCAGCCCCCTTCCAAACCCCCCTCAGTCCAGGCTCAGCTTGTGCCCCCAGCAGGGGGGCTCAGAGCCCTTCCCCCTCTGTGCCCTTCAACCCACCTTGACATAACCCAGCTCGCGAGGGCCCTCTGGTGGCATCACGCTTTGGGCAGCAGCACGTATCATGGGTGTATTTTTCCTGAGGTCTGGGGCGGGAGTGGGGTTCACTGGTTAGAGCCGGTGGGGAATGGGAGCCAGGACTCCTGGGTTCTATTACGGCTCGGGGGGGGGGGGGGGGGGGGAGCGGGGGGTGGGGGGGACCGGGAGCCAGGACTCCTGGGTTCTATTCCTTTCTTTGCAGCGCCATCAGTCGCTCCACGTGACCTTTTTGCCATTCGTTTCCTCCCCCCCCGTGAAGGCAGGAGGCGTGGCGCAGCCTGTGTGCAGGGTCCTGGGCTCCCGTTCACACACAGCTCACTCCCTGCAAGTGCCAGAGATCCAGCGGGACCAGCGAAGACAGACACTCACAGGAGACGGTTTATTGCCAAGCAGCTGCTGCCCTGTTCGGAGCAGGGCCTGGGAAGGCCCTCGCCCTAGTACATGGCTACAGTTAGTGTAGTAGTACACAGCTAGTACAGGAGGGGGAACAGCGGGAAGCCTCAGCTCGAGAGCCAGGACAGGGAGGCGGGAGGGATGCGGGCTGTGCAGAGCGGTTACCCGGCAGAGCGAAGCTGGAGCCTGGCCGGGAGCTCAGATATTCCGGCCCTCCTGGGCTTTCTCCTCATCCGGCGGGAGGATGGAGTCAGAGGCCAGTAGCGGCTCCTTGCTCTCCACCGCCTCGGCCCCGGCCTGAAAGCAGGGCAGAGGTTTAAGGCTTCAGAGGGGCTCAGGGCTCCAGTGCCGAATGGCGCGGCCAGCATAGCGCTGCACTGCCACAGCGCGCACAGCCTGGGCAAGCGTCTGCCCCCCCGCACCCCACGGGGCTGGCGCAGGCCCCCACAGGCAGAGGGGAGAGTCCTGCCGTGGCCTGGGCCCCTCTGCTGAGGAGAAGCCAGTGAGCAGATTGGTCCTGATCCCTTCTCGCTCTGCCGCTCCCAAGCTCCCCGGGACACTGAGGGTCTCCGAGCTCGGGGGCTCAGAGAGCACGCCCCAGGGGCTGGGCTGGGCAGACACGCAGGGCGGGGGGAGGAGCAGAAAGGGCTCCCCAGGACTGCCTGCCCCCTTCCGTTATCACAAGTAGCCCTGTGATGCTAATGGGATGGGGCTACCCCACAACCTCATGGGGGGTAGGTGCTGCCAGCCAATCAGACAGCTCCCTCAGCTCTGCCAGCCAATCAGATGGTTCCTTCCGCTCCACCCATTTTGTACTGAGCCCGGCACGTCAGGTTACACCACAGCTTTCAGTAGGTGGCACTGACGGGGCGATGGGCCCACTGCTCCCCGACTCGTGCCCCATGCTGTGGGGACTCCGGGGAGGGAGGTGGGGAGAAGTCTCCTGGATCTCCACAGCAGCCCAGGGAGGGGTCATCTCAGCTACCCGGGAGCCCTGCTGGGACGTCTCCTCCCCTGCCACCCCATAGAGCACTAGGGTGCGTCTCCCCATAACTGACCCACCAACCCTCATGCCAGCCGTGGGGAGGCAGAAGGAAGCCCCTGGCCCAGGCCCCCCCCCCGCAGCTAGGTGATCAGCCGGGGCTGCGCCGGGGCCCAGCCAGCCTGCCCTAGAGATGATCCCACTCCCCCTTACCAACTTCCTGCAGCACAGGGCCCAGCAGCCGTAGAGGAAGGAGTAGAAGGCGATGCAGAGGCCGGTGGCCATGGTGAGCAGCAGCAGCAGCCGCACGCCCAGGAACAGGCTCTGGGAACAGGAGAGGGGACAGGCAGCACCACAGTCACGGGGTCCCACCCGGCCAGGAGCCAGGCAGCTCCGAGGGCTCCGTGCTCAGACAGCGGCTGGAACGGCCGGAGCAGCGCGCACAGCGGGGGCTCTGTCTGGGGCCTGGTACCAGGCCGGCACTAGCAGGGGAGGGGCCTGGCTGGGCTCGGGGGCTGCAGGGGCTGGTCCCTCATTTCAGCCCCATGGGCCTCATTCTAATTCTCATGCTCCTTGCTGGGGGGCAAGCCCCTCGGAGGCCATCCCGGGGGCTGCCCCCAGGGGGCAGTACGGAGCCTGTGCATCGGGTCCTTCCAGCCAAGCCTCGCCCAGCACTTCCCAAAGGGACACCGCGATCAGGAGGAGGGACCCGGCCCCA